ATTAGTCCTTTTCTAATGGAATATGGGTTTAAAGACTGGATATAAAGGAGGGCTGAAAAACTAAAATAGCATACGGCCTCATTAGCAGCTGAAATCTGGTCCAATTCCATTCAGGTAGTCAGGCAAAGCCTTGTAGATGGGAAATGCCTTCTCAACCCTGGCTGCACCAGCCCTTTTTGAAATAATATTCTGAATTTATAGCTGCCCTTGATGCACACAGAGGGGATTCATCAGGTGAAAAGAGGTAGCTACAATGTAGATGCCTACCTCTGAGCAGGGGACTGAGGTCAGAGAAGAGACATAGATATTTTAGGCTGCAACTTACTGAATTCCAAAGCAGTCATCTAAAATAAGTCAGATGAATTGTTCCTGAAAAGTGCTTATTTCTTTCCATAGGTTATATGGGGAGACTGCACTAATTAGCCTGACATAGGCCCGTCTACCAGGTAAACATCTCAGGTTTGGTATGGTCAGTCCCATCTCGCGCATCTGCCCCACCTGCCTTGGACCTGGACCACCGCTGGTGCACACAGAGCTATGTTCCTTCAGGTTAAAGGAAGCAACGATACGCGTGAGCTTTGTACTCTGTGTTTCAGTGCTGGTCTCTTATTTAAGGCCACTTTGTTCTGTGGTAACTGTGGTAACCTGGCAAAACATCTGGCCTCAATACTGAGAGTCCTGAGCCCCCATGGCTCCCATGCTGACTTTAGCCTAGCCAGTTTGTATGAACACATGCCAGACGTTGCTGGATACAGGCATTCCTTTGTGGGAATCCTGCCAGGCCATAGATACAAACTCTGCCCCACAGAGTATTTGAGTATTGAGGATTTATTTCACATTTTTTTCCATGCCTTTCTGAAAGAAAAGCCTTTCCACGTGAGAGATGTTCTGATTTAGCGTGACGACTTCTGCAGCGAGTTGTCACTGTTTAGCTAGTGGAGCTACCCTGAGAACACATATACTCATTCCTGGGAAAAGATCCACCAGTGAAATGAATTCTATTTGCTGAGCTTGTTCATATAAATTAACAGCATGACAAACATCCAGAAGATAAAGAGATCAGACCCATGCTGGTGGTTCCCTGGCTAAGGATTGCTAATCCCACAAGGCCATTGTTTGAAGATGAGAATTCACTGCAAAGCCTGGCCAGCTTGGCTTTCCATGAACAAACAGGGTGTCTATGCCCTGGTCTTCTCTCACCTCAAAGATTTACACAAAGGGACTAACTTTGCCTTCCTTCCGCCTGTGTGAGTCAGAGCAAAATGCTTCTTTCCCTGCCAAAAATATAACAACCTTTACCTGAACCCCTGCTAGCTCTGTTTTCCTCTGACCTCCTTGCTGCCTGGGTTTCCACACTTTACTTAGGTTCCTGCCCTTTACCATGCAGATCATGTTGTGAGGTACAGTTTTGCCATCCTCTTCTGGTCTCAAAACACCCCTGTAAAATCAACTAGTCAAGCAATCCCTCCTTCCTTCATCTCCATCCTTTGCTTCTCCTGGACTTTAGCTGTGACTCTCATCTGACTTGGTTTACCTGCACTGTAAATCCTCCGAGGCAGGGAATGAGTTTCACCAACAACTAAGGTGACCAGGGTTTTAAAAAGCCAACCAGGGAAGTTAATTCTAAGATGAGAACTAGCATCACTCCCATCCTGTTGCCAGACATCCCACCTTCCCTGCAAGACACATGGCACTCCCTCTTGCTTTCATGTATGGCTTTAAAGCTATATAAATGGGTATTAGCAGAGTCTCATAAAATAATATTGCACAAGAATAGCCATGGGGCAGTTCACAGCTGCCCAAGCAGTTCTGATTGCTTCCTAGATTCCTATGTTGTTCTCAGTGGCACTAGATGACAAGCTGAAGACAGAGAGGCTTCAGTTAGCTGTGCAAATGTACAACGGCAGACACTATTTCTTCAGAACTAATGCTAAGAACATACTTCTAAAATCCTCCTTCTTTGATAGAGTGCTGTCAAATTTTTGGTCTTTGATTACAAAAGAGAGTAAAGACACTGGACATCAATGTTCAACAATGTCAAACCCTGAGGAAATGTGTGTCAAAAGATGAAGCTTCAACAGTGCTGCAGAGATTTAAATAAGGGAGGAGAATTTCACGCTGCAAAGCTTGTGAAACTTCCTATTTTCAGCATGTTTTTTCCAAGAAGCCTTTGCTTAAAAAGGCATGCTTTCTTTAAATGTACTTTTAGAGCAATCTAAAAACTACGGCATCTTTGGTGAGCATGCTGCCCATCAACATTGCTGCAGGCATGTTAAGAGTAAAAACAATTTGATGGTCACATAAAAGGTGAAAATCGTTCTTCTGTAGGTTTTTCTCTTCACAAACTACCATTTACTGTTCTTGCCTGAAGCTTCATGTCTTCAGTAGTTACCCAGTGTGGTTGAATTGTACATTTACTTTGACTAGAGGGAAAACCCCACATTATTACTAAATCCTGATACAGTAAACAGATTTCTCTGTAATGAACATCTGGCACATCCAGTTACTTGTATTACTATCTCCCCAATTAGGACCCTCAGGACCAACCTTATCTTTCTCAGCTGCAATGCTTGGGAGAGGTAATGCAAGAAAGGTATATGCAAATACAGGCAAGCCTTTACCAATGATATAGTAGGTGTCATAGGCACCCAGTCCCTTAAAAATTAAGACTTTTGTGATTAGGTATGGTACAGCATTAATTATCTCTGCTTTCTACCTCATGGCAGCAGGGGAGAGGGAGCATTCTGTTTATGGTGTGGATATGGATGGCTCTGTAAGCTGTTGTGCATCCCCAGATTATCAAAATAAGACCCCATCTATGGGTGGGTCTCTTCACAACCATTCCTTCAACCCTTGCTGTAGTTCCCAAGCCAAAACTGAAACTGCTGGGTAACAGATACATGGGGCCTTTCCAACTTCAGCCAGCTGGCTGGAGTCGATTTCTTCTCCAGTTGCCTTCTGCTCAGATCAGATTTGGGGATCGACATGGGAACTCTTCACATGCTGGGAAACATTTTCAACTTCTTGCCAGCATCTGACATCCACAGGGGAAATAAACAGAAAAGACATGGTAAGCTAATGCCCATTCCTAACTCTTGAGGCAACTGGCCTTCCACTCCAATTAAAATTGTAACTCAGTGTGACAATCCACTCATTACTACCACAAAAAGAGAGTATAAGCCCATACTTAGTCTGGTTTTCACACACTCACTTTTCAGACACTGAATGCTGACTTTTCCCCTATGGATTTCCCCTATGGATTGTGATTCCAGAACAGGAGAGGTCACTCATTTAGTAACTGTTGTATGGATCCATAGTCCTAAGATGTCTCTTGGCTAAGATCCTGCTAGAATAACTTGTCTCCACTGCGCTGCCAACTTTCATAAAACAATACAGATGGCAATATTTATGCTCATTGAGTGATCTTTGAAATGAATATGAGAATGGCTAAGTAGCACTGACTTTCACACATTTAGCAGTTCCACTCCTAAATCTGCACTTAGCTCTTGTTCAGTCAGAGCTTTTCCTGCTTTCCATGGGGTCTCTGTCCTAGCATGGACTCTTCAATTTGGCCCCTAGGCAAGATGCTTGATAATAGAGCTGCTGTGTTTTTAATGAGTTAGGGTTTGATGTTTTCTTTTTTTTTTTTTTAAAAATTTGCCTAGAAGTCTAACACTTTTGCAGAAGAGCACCAACAGTTTTGTGTAGTTCTAAGCACAGGTGGATTTGAACTGTATACACTGAAAATGTTCAGCTCTGGATCTACCCTTATGGTTTGAAGCACCCAAAAGGTAGACTAAGCTCTTCTCTTGGGAGACAGCAGGCCAATTCTGGAGTCATGAGGCTTTGTGCAGCCTTGATTTGTCCATCCAAGATATATCCACCACTAAATATAGGGACATAACAGAGCAAAGAGTTTCTTCTCTTGAGAAGCCTCCCTTGTAATTGAAATTAAATGAATGACAATCACTTGGCTGGGAAAAAAAGCTTCACTCAGGAAGAAACTTAAAAGTAGGTCTTCATTTTTTGTGGGTACTGTGGAATGAATGAGAGTGATGTCAGATGTAATATAACACTGGAGTGGAAAGGCTAAAAGAAAGACACAGTAACACTGCACTGGCTAGTTCTAGACATGAGCTATCCATTAAAAGTAAGCTAAACCCCTCAACTTAATTTTGTACATATGCCATCCCAAACCCCAGCCTTTCTCTGGGTGTTTTAAAGCTGCAAGAGCAAATTTGTCTTCTCAGAAAATATATCCCTTGGAGGCAAAGACACTGTGTACCCAAGAGCACCGGCAGCTTCTAGTGGCTTTCAAACACTGACAGTTCCTTGCAAAATACCCAGATGAAGAGAAATTCCCCTAAACTGCCATAATCTTTGTTAAAACCTTTCTAATCTGGTCCAGTCCAGTCTATGAATATGTTCTATGCCCATGCAGAAGCCAACTGATGGCCATAAAATGCCATCATTTGCTATTTGCAGGTAATTCATTATACCATTATGTGGTTGAGTCCAGAAGGCAAATACGACACAGCTATACTGGGATTAATTTGGTCCCTGACATAACGCACACCCTGGGCACAATCCAGAGGAAACGGATGGCTTGCCGGCAAGGAAGCAAGTGTTTTCCCTCCAGGTGGCTGGCTCAGGTTGGTTATCCTGGCAGAAAGAGGTTTTTGTTCTGCAGCCCTACCCAGCTTGGACTTCCCAGGAGTTCAAAACCCACAAATAAAAATGTAAAGACATAATGTCTGATCTTGCCCTCACACAAGGTTTCTCTGTGGGCAGCTATGGGTGTTAGCATGGCTACTACTTATTTGCACTTGTGTGAGAAGAGTTTTCAAAGCCAATGAGCTCAAAGAAACCTCTGTAAAAGTATTTGTTTGTCCATAGGTGTTCCTACAGTGAGAGAAACTGACAGCCTCATTTCCTGGCCCCTAGGGAACAGGTTGTCTGTAGCTGTATCCCATGGGAAGGGCTTGCCATCATGCACTTACCTGACACAAAAGTACAAAACAACCGGTCCTGACTTTTTGGGGAAGTCATGTTCCAGCACCCGGCGGTCCAGCTGAAGCCAGTTCAAGTGTCCCCTGTCAAGAGAAGAAACAGTTTTGAGCCTGGCACCAAAGGGGTTTCTCACTACTCAAGGCAATGAGTTCTGAGGTGTTACAAAAGATGAACTGAAGCACATGCTATTTGCCCTCGGCTATTGCATGATATTTGAAAAACACACAATAAATGTTTGAGGAGTGGAGGCGATATCATTCTGGCAACATTTCAGTCTGGGAATCGAACTGCTAAAGTTCAATCTGTCAGGGTGAAAGCTGGCAGCAGTGAGCAGGCAGGACAGCCCAAAATCTCATGAGCTTCACCTTTTTATTACAACCCCCTGGAGCAGTTGTATCATTAAAAGTCTGTCAAGATTTTCATTAGAAATCCTTATTGTTAAGAGTTTCCACAACACCTGCAATATTTCACTCAAGGCTAAGTCTGACTCTACAGCCTCAGACAGTTTATTTACCACCCATGTGCCTGCAATAGCCTCTCTAGGTTTGCCCAGCCTTCGTTTTTCCTTCTTCAGAGAGCTCCTGAAAAACAGCTGCTCCATGAAGCGTTCCAGCTCCAATTACCACATGCTGCTTTTATTTTGCCTAGATGGTACCTGTCGCTATTATTTTCTCCTATAATTTATCCATTCGTGCCTTGCTGCTGGAAGCTTTCCTGGGCAGGAGCTCTGTTCTTTGTCACGTTCCCCACACTGTAGAGTGCTGTGTGTGCGTGAGAGGTATTTTATAAATACCATTATTTGTATTACAGGGACATCTCACTCCCCAGCTGAGATAAAGGCCCCATTAAATTAGGTACTGTGGAAATACATAGGGTAAAATTCAGGCCCCACTGAAGCCAGCTGGAATTTTGCCGTTGCCTTCAGTGATGCTGGGGCTGCATCCTGTGAGCGTGTTGCTATTGATTTCAGTCAGACCAGATTTCACCCAGAAGGAGAGGCAGCCCTTGCCTTCAGTACTCTGCTGTCTAGACAAGCAAGGGGAGAGAGAACTGAAAAGATTTTGGGGACAACCTTGCAGCAAATAAAGCAGGAAATGGAACTCAGATATCCTGAGCTCTATTCCACTGCTTATTTACCAGCTCATGCTAATCCTCAAGAATAATTCTTCCTTCCATGGGGAAAAAAAAAAAAGGCTTGGTTTAAAAAAAAGGGATAAATTAAGTTTTAAGGTTGCCACAAGTCTTAGCAATGTACCTCATCAGCAGACATACTCAGCTTTCACAAGGGTCTGTCCGTTACTCCTTAGCAGTGTGTGTGGTTTGGGCAACTGAGAAGAGATCTAAGAGATTCAAAATTACTTGTGAGCTCTACTCATCACTCCAGTGGGTTCAGGATCAGACATTTATAAAGAAGCTATCTCACCTCAAATTTTGCCATATAGAAGTCAGGCATTCAGTTTAAGCAGCCTTTGCATCTGTTTTGCAAGAGTACCAAGTCTAAACTAGGTACAAGTGATACATGTGGAGTTGGGGACTTTTCAAACTCATCCCTGGACATCTTCTGGTGTACAAGAAGGATCAAACCCTTTTTTATCCCCTGCTCTAGAGACCTGTATGTTTCTCTCCAAGATATTTTAACTTTTAGCCATTTTTTTCTCTAGATAAAGTTTTTAAATAAGTTTTTTCTCATTTTTTTCTCTACATAAAGGGCAGCCTGAGCTGTGTATTAGAGGCACAGACTTACTAGCAGCATGGCTACTGGAAAGGGGTGACATAATGCAGATTTTCAAGCCCAACTAGTCATTTCATATGTCTCTCTTTCAGTACGTGGTCTGAGGACAAGTCTGCCCAGCCTGGGACAGTGCTGTGCAGTGATACTGCCCGGGATCAGGGGTGAGGATGGCCATAATAATGAGGCTGGATGTTTGGGCTAACTGGTCTTGTTCTCGGCAGGCTGTGTAGCTGGGCACGCAGTATGATGGGGTCTCCTGTCATTTCTGCTGCTGGGATGCAGTCACCCAGTGCTAGTGCAGGATCCCTGCATTGTGCCTTGTTGTTCAGCACAGATATGTACTTTCAGAAGGCTTGGTTTTTAGAAGACAGATGCTCGAGGCTGCCAGAAAATAAGCCCTACTGAAAGATTCTCAGCCTGGGCACCCAAAAATCAGAGGCGTTCACATTTCCTGCTGCATCCCCTTTCTTGAAATCTGTCCTTTTTCCTATTTTTTTTTTTTGTCCTGAAGTGCTGTTATGTTTCTTTTAACAGGACTCAGAAAGGCTGAAATTAACAGTATGCATGGGGATTGAAACTAGACATGCTCACCCATTCCTAGCCAAAGTACAAAATGAGCATTTAACCATGTAGGCCAAAGTACAAAACACTGTCAGAGCAAGGAAAAGCCACGCTAAGCCTGACATCCTATCCTGAACCTGTCCAGCTGCATTTGTATCACCAAAGTAGCAACCACCAGCAGCTGATGGCATTACACACTGGTTCCCACCGAGACCGATTTGTTAACAATGAACTTACTGTCTAACTCTATGTTTATTCAACAGAAATGTCTGGGTTTGCCTAACATGTACAACGAAGGGTTGAGAAGCCATGGTGCACAGAACAATAATTCACTTCAAGGTATTTCTTATTTTGAAACGACTTGCTCTTTTAACTGCATTTTGACTTGAGAAACTGATATGACCAGTATGAAAAGAATATATGCATATACATATGCATACCAGGTTACACATTTATGTTGCACAAGTACACGGTTGTGCGTACTGAATAACACATTTAATTGCCACTGAGTTTTGGGGTTGAAGAGTTTCATTACTCTCATCTGCATGGAGCTTAAATCCAAAGCTCCTTCAGAGGAGGAAGGTCACTTAAATCACTGCCAGGAGCTAACTGCTCACTGTACTCAATTACCACTTACAATCTTTCATCACTGAGGGCTTCTGCACTGCAGATTGTCACCTAACTCCTTGTTTCCAAGCGTGCATGTGTGGCATGTAGAGAACAGCAGCAGTGAACAGTCACGGGCATCCGTCTGTGAATGTGGTCTATCAGGGAGCCAAACTCCAGTGCTGTTTTACACCACAAAGTGCTTTGCTCTGGAAGCTGTCTTCCTGTCTTCAGCAGAACTATTCATGGAGCACAATCCCATGTAAGACAGAGAAAAGTATGGGCATATAACCCTAGGCATGTAGTAATCCTGACAGTTTTCATGGACCAATTTAGGCAGCTTGCACTGGGATCCCATTCATACATGCTTATGTCTAGCTGGATTTCCTTCACGGTTCAATTTAGAAACACAAAGTAGCTTTTGTTTCATTATCACCATTGATTTGTTCATTTGAGTATTTGTATCAGTGTATTCACAAAAAATGGCGCAAACAGTTTTGGGTGACCTGTAGGGAGGTTGAATATCGGAAGCCAGATCATTTTTCTCTGTTGGTTGTACTCATGTTGGCAGTTAAACTGGTGTGTCAATAACAAACACATAATTGCTTTTAGGAAAAGAAACTGGGTCCATTTAGGTCACAGACCAAGTATAGATTTCGGTGCCCAGGGTTCATATTGTCGATTGCATGCAGTAGTTCTGTGTTCTTTTATCAGGGCTTTCAGGAAAGAGTGATACATCAATGAATACTTTGCCTCCAGGTGGTTCTGTTTATATAGTTTTACTGGTTAGTGTCCAGTTTTCTGAAAAGTGGATCCACATTGATTTGTGTTATAAAGGTATTCAGACCAATAAACCTACTCACGCCCCTTCAGTGTCAAACTCATGTTGAATTGAATGGACATTGACAAAGACCAATTCGCATAATAGAAACCATATAAGCTATTTTACATTTCCATCAATCACGACAGAAACAAAAACCCCCTTAAGCTCACAGATTTTCTTGTTTAGGGTCTTAACCCTTCAACAGAAATACTTTTGAAGGGTCTCAAGGAGCTACATGAGTTTAACTGCACAGATTTTGCGAAACAGTGGGCTTGGTGACAAAGGAACTGGTCTAACGCCAGAACAGGACATTATTCTGAGAGCTGCACCCTCCATTGGACTGGCTGTTCAACCAGGACATGGGACACCTGGCCCCTCATTTTGGCTCTGCCACATGGCTGCAGGGTGGGAATAGGCTTCCCCCCACTTCGCAGAGATGAGAGAGTATTCCAGGGAAGAGTAGTACCCCGCTCTTCCTTTGCCATCCCCTTGGCCATAGGATCCTGGGCTGAGCAAGGGCACTCTCTGTCATTACCTTATCACATTAGTACAGTCTCTAGCACAAATGTAACACAGATAATGTGGGCTTCAATGCCTTGCAGTTTTTATCCTAATGTTAGCTAGCTGAAGAAGCTGCTCTGCATGTTCTCCTCTGGTGAGGGAGCAAAAGGGTTTGGATCAGCTTTTGGTTGGACCCACTGAGAGGGGGAGCTGTGGGATGCAAAAGTTGGTAGTTCTCCATGGAGCAGGTGACTCATGTCTAAGGACAAGTAAAGGATGTGGAAAACCTGCCCGTGGCCCAGATGGGGCATCTGCAGTGAACAGAAGGGTAATCCTGACCACTTGCTCTCAGTGAATGCTGGAAGAGCTGATGCCAAAGGAAAGGGCGGTTAGCGGAGATTCATAATCAGCTGAACTAAAAAAAAAAAGCCCTTTCCCCATTCCTTTTCACTCTGAATCAACCAGCATATAGCTATTCTGGCTTCATGTGAAGCTTGGCCCCACGTGCTGTACAGGGACACCCTTTTGACCTGTGCTCTCCCACAGTTAATGGCTCACACCATAAAGCGTTCCTGTGATCATTAAAATAGGAGGCGTTATTCTCTCCTCCATAATAGTCTGACAATCTAATTTTAGTCATGCTGAATGCAGTAATGACCCTATATTATCACAAGAAACTATTAAGTTGCCAACGCAAAGGTTGTTCCTATTGATTTTCTTCTTAGGTTGTCATGATAGAGCACAACTAATGAATGGAAATCCCCAGTCCAAACCATTTCTAAATAAATTACTCTCACAGAGCTTTTACTCTTAAATAGAAGAATTGATTTAATACTTTAGTGGCTTTTCTTCTTTCTAAACTTGCAATTTAGCCAACCCCAGACTACATTTATGAACCAGGCTTGTTCTGTTTTAGCTGGTTATGAGTTCCCTTCAAGTAAGGCACATGGAAACTCAGCGAAGAGTGAAGTGAAGGAAATCCTTGAGGGCCTGCGTCACAGAATTAAAGGGTTTATTTTTGTGTGCCTGGTCTGTATCAGCTATAGGGCTGTGTCAGGTGCTCTGAAAACACACATTAAGAGACTGGTTTTCCTACTTTTTGAAGAAAGGATTTTTTTAAAACTTCCATTTCACATTGCAGGTTAAGATCTGTGGTATAGACAGCCCAGCTTATCTTCTGAAAGTGACATGGGACATCTATTTGCAAGACCCAGCCCAACGCTCCAGGTATATTTTTTTGGCTGTATTCAGTCAAATAAAACAATTGCTGTTTGTGCCAACTCTATGAAAAGCTTTTTACAACTGAAGAGGAAATATTTTTGTCAAGGTTATTTTCACAGCACTGAAGAAGCCTCAGTGCAAAGGTCAGACTCACTATGGGACAGCAGAAGAGCTGCAGACCAAGCTTCATATCAGCTAGGACTTACTGGCATGTTTCTGGGTTGCGTTTACTAGATTTAATGAGGGTGTCCGCAAATTTTTCATCTGGGCTGGCTGAGCATCTCCTAAAATGCACCCTGCTCCATCTTGACTACAGGTCAAGAGGGTGACCAAGTGAGTGGGTGCCATCACCTCACCCTTTGAAATCCCATCTAGACAGTGCACATCCATCTGCATCTGCTGCACATCTTTGAGCACTGCCTCGACAGCCTCTGTCAGCTTCTCGTGCTTCCTCCCATCACTAACCCAGATCTTTGCTCATGCTGCTCTGTGTTAAACCTGGAAGCCCCAGGGGAGGCTGGGCTCTCTCTAATTGCTGACACCTCCTCATTAGCTTCCTTTGCACTCCCAGGGGAGCCCTGTGCCCACTCAGCTGAGCTGAGAGCTGGGACTTGCTCAGCTGCTATCTGGTTGCAGTCTGACATGTGTTTCTTGTTTTTAACCTGTGCTGCTAGGGAACATTTTCATCTCTTAGTCTGCTTTGGCTTCCCTGCATGGCTTTCCTGCACCCCTCAGGCAGCACCCAGAGTAACTTGCTCTCTCCAATAGGAAATAACACCTTGGTGAGGAGCAATATCCTCCTCCTGCTTTATAAATTGCCAGTGCCTCCTGCTGTTCCTCTTTTGAGGACCAGTATCATTAGTTTCTGTTGGGTTGGAGATCTCCTACAGGGCTGAGCTGCTCATCTCAGTGAGATGGGATGGATTCTGGGATCTCCTCTGATTCGGGTGCTGCTTCTGTACACGTCTGATGCTGAGCATTCCTCCATCCTGGGAGCTGTGCCCTGAGATGGCCTCAGGCTGCCCAAGGCAGGCACTTGCCAAAGGAACTGCCTCTAGAGGGGCGATCGCTGCTGAGATGAATGTAGATATGTTTGTGCAATTATCCAGCAGCCTCTGATTACCTGATCCCAAATCATTATTCCAGCAGATAATTTACATTTCCCTGCCACTTGAGCAGGAGAGTAGAGCTGGCTTATGACAGCAATACTGCTGACTCAGCTGTTCTGGGAACCCAGCATTGGCTTGAAAATCTTGTTTTTTTAAAACAGTATAGGTGTGGGAAGCCTATTCCTGATTAATATATATATAAAAAAAAAAACCCCTCTTGCAAACCAAGGTGGAGTATGGTGGGTGCGCATACAAGACATAGTCCATATGCTGAGGACTGTCTAACTACAGAGAGAAAACAGGCAGCTGGAAAAAAGTACCAGGGACTGTGCAGTAGGACTGAGAGGTCACAGACTAGGACTAATCATAGCATTTGGCAGACCTTTAACGTTTCTCCAGTGCTAATTTTATACTGGCCTTTTAAACAGGGAGTAAAAATGGCCTGTCTTGAGACAAAAGCTCAAAATTTGTGGTAATACTAGGACTCTAGGAGCTGGGGTTCAAGGAGAACAACCAACATTGCCTGAGGTGACTGCAGTGTCAGGGTCCCATCTTTTAGTTTAGCTTAGCCATAAGGCTGTTGTGTGATTCCTGGAAAGGTCAAATCCTTTCCACAATGGAAATTTTATATTTAAAAATGCTTTTCATTCATGTTAAATTCAGCAATTCCTTCCTTTCCCACACTTTCTTCTTTCCCTTTTTTAAGAAACTCTAATCTGGGATCTAAAACATCAGAAATAATAGAATAATTTTGTGAGGTTGGTTTTTTATTTCTTTTCTTGGAATAATTAAGCATTACTTTTAAGCCTGCATGAGTGAATAAATGGATTAACACTTTAATTGAACAGTTCCGCCAATCTGGTAATAATTTTGAACTAGCGAGTGGATCTTAAGTCCATGAGAGCTTAAGCTAACCTTTTACCAATGCCAAATGACACCAACTCTTTGAACATGGGATTAGGAAAGGATTGTTACTGCCTTTATACACCTCTGGCCATGCTTAATTTCCCATGAGAGGCCTCCAGCCCCCTGAAGAAGAGGCAGTACAAGACAGACTCTGATGTGAGGTCCACGCCACCCTAGACCTTGGTCTAGGACCTTGGGGTACACAGGTCTTCTACGCTGGTCATTTTGCTTAGGACAAAACCGCCAAGGTTTCCTGTGATCTAAGAGTTGCCTCTTAGGTCTTTGATTTCTTGCACTTACGTTTCATCTGTGAATGCAATTCCAAAGTACTCCTTCTCCTTCAGGTTGAAATGAGATGCCACCAAGTCAAGCAACTCCTTGGCCAAAAGCTTTGGCTGGAAAACAAGAATGAAAGACAGTGATTAATGAGAACTTGGATAGAACTGCACTGTGCTTCTGGAGGGAAACGCTATCCTTGAAGGTATCCCACTGCTGTTGCTTTTATGTTCCCTCTGGTGTTTGAGCCAAATCTGCAAGCAACATTAGCGGCTTGAAATGAGCAATAGTCTCCCTCCTAGGTAAATCCTAAAAACCTGTCAATTCTGACCTCTTCATTGCTTAATGTCTCTGCAGACAGATGACCTGCCACCTGCCAGTGTTTAGATCTACCATGACCAGCTCACTCATGCCTCTCTGATAATTTTAGTTGTTAAAGCTTTTTATCAAGGACCTTTGCAAACACATTTCAGACACCCACTCTCACACACAGAGCACAGATATATGCTCATAACACTAAGAAAATACATAGTGCCAAAAGATAGGATGTGACAGGACCAAATGAGAAGTAAATGACAGAACAAAATAGTTTCCCATTCAGTATTGCTTGTCATTTAGAGATAAGAATATATCCTCAAATTTAGGCACTTGGAAGGAAAGAGAGGAAAGTAACACACACTTTCAAAATACCCTTTGTAAAAGCATAAAAGCCAAGCTCAGAGAAACTATTTGTTCCATACAGAGGACAGTGCATGACTACCTTTTCTGCAAAACCTTATGTGACTCTTAAGTCTAATGCGTCCTCCTGCCTCTATGAATTTTCACCAGCTCTGCTGAGCTCCTGTGTTTCCTACTGGACTACTGAAGTCTTGGCCATAACAGAGGTCTTGTCTTGACTGTCACTGGTAGAAAACAGGGGTACAAAGGATCCAGGTAGATGCAGCCTGTGATCCCACAGCCTGTAATAGCCCCAGATCCCAGAGCTGCAATGGTTACAGCAGCATTGGCACAGCTGGAGTCAGAGATCCCAACAATGTTCCCTGGTGACTGCTCATAAGGATTTGGTCTACAAATCTCTGTGCTGCAAGCCTCGGTGAAAATAAAGTTGTCTGCAGGCTTGACTGCCCCAATGAGTCTACCAAGCAGCTGAGTCAGAGTTACCCCAGATGTGAACCTGTTAAATGGAGATGAAATGATGATGCTGTGCAGAAAATGGATGGTGGGGACCTGAGAATCCTGCTGTCCTAATTGGCTGCTCTGTCCTGTAAATACAAACATAGCTTGTATTGAAAAAAAACCCCCTGATTTGTACTTAACTCCCAAACAGATTCGTAAGATTCTCAGCCTCTCTCTAAAAATGTCCATAAACCCAGTAATGTCATAGTATCTGACACAGCTGAAAGAAATTTGAAGTATAATTCCCTGGCATTCATGTGAGCATTACACTGTCCTCCACCCACCTGTCTCCCTTCTATGTCCTAGTGCAGTTACCAGCAATGTCCGTATGGTTCCTTTGTGCACCCAACACAAGGGTGGTTTCTAGGTCATGCCAGCAAAGAAAGAAGCAATAGCCATGCCTAAAGCAGCACTAGTTTAAAGCAGCCTCTGAATACGAGATAAGTTGCTATGTAGGAGGAACAGCCTGGCAGATAACAAATAGGTGGGATGCAGCTAGTTTCATTTTAACTCCCAAGTCAGACTTCTCAGGCACAACCGTTGGAGTCTTTGCTATGTCTACGTTGCCTGCTGCATTGCCTGTCACAGTCTCCTGAACTAGCTTCTGAATGGTGCTCAGCGCTGAGTAGACCAGGCATGGAGCTGTGGTCATGTCCTTTGTCCCCTTGAGTCCCTTCAGGGAACCAAGCAAAGAGCACACCAGCTACACCAGCCTCTTTGGGGACTCCTCAGGTACTTCTCTCCTGGCATTGTGCTGGGTGGGATGGATGTTCCTAGCATCCCTGTCTCCTGTAAGATGAACCTCCCTTTGCTGGAGTATTTTAAGGACAAGCTACAGTTTGGCTTATGAGATACCTGGACATTGTGGCAAAGAGCATCATAAGACTGCCGGGTGAATTCAGAGATACATAGGCTCAGTGCAGGTACTTACTGGGGGCGTTGGATGAGTTTTCAGCTTAACAACAGACAAACAAACACAAACTTTTGAAGGAGAGAGAGAAAGGGGGTTTTGTGCCTGCCAATATGCAGTTTGAGAGCCTAAGTCTTGCTTTTCCCCCACCCCAGCCCAAGCCTCCATGCTCCTTTCTCTCCTGATCACGCCAGACTCTCTCTGCACCAGAAAGAGACTTCTTCCCAGCCCAGTGCTACCACAAGAAGAGGGGTGGGAATGCATGCCCAGTGACGGGTGTAGGGAAGGGCAGGACTGACCCCCCCCCCCCACCCAAGGCCACTGGGGGCAGTTGGTGGAGGTGAGTCTGGGCACCCCCATGATGGCGTGCATTGCAGGCATGGTGTTGCGTGGCTGGCACTGCCTGGCTCCCAGTTCTCTGGGGTGACTCCGTTATTTGATAAATGAGCAGTTGTGCTGCCAAGCAAGGAAGCGAGCCATCAGCAAGCCTTGCTGGGTGTCCCACCTGAGATGGCAAGGCTGGGGAAGGGTGGGGAAAAAGCATGCCTCAAACACAGCAGCATTTTGTCAAGCCTGGGTTAAACATTTGGGGGGGGATAGGTTGAGCTTTCATATTTTGCAAGAAAGCAGAACAGAGCAATAAATGGCTGCTGTGAAACACGCCGCCTGTGGACTTGGGGAAGTGATGGGTCCCTCGGCTCCAGCCAGCCAGCACTGCCACAAGGGTCACTGGACAAGGGGTAAAATCCCCTTCTTATGTCCAGCCACATCATGGAGAAGTGATGCCCAGCATCCCTTGCCCGATGCACTGCTGCATCCAGCCCCAGGTATCGAGTGAGGAGCAGCACCTGAAAGCACCTGCATTCAGCCACCCTCCCCAGGCAAGACGGGTAAATGCAACATGCTGCTTCCTTATTTCTGCTGAGTGAGACCTGGCTGCAGAAAAAGCCACAGAGAGGTGATCAGCACATGACAGCTTTCCCTTCTCTACTGCCCATTAGCAGCTGCTCCTCTCCCAGCACAGCCCTCCTCCTGCCCCTGGGGCTCAGCAGGGGCACGGTCTCTACTGCCCTTGCCACAGGGCCTCCTCCAAAGCCTGTGGTAGCAGATAAGGCAGGATAACCCTTTGGCTTGCAAGATAAGGGAAAAGAACAATAGATGCAGACCCAGCACTGGAGCGGTGCCAGGTTAGTTACTGGGCCAGAGTCCCTGAAGAGGCTTACCGCAGGGAACTTAAGCCCTGCTAGTCCCCTCCAAGATTACTTTCCGCTCTCCTCTTAAGCTCTACAAGGTTATTGTCCTTTCCAGTAGGATGGCTCCCGTGTCCTCCCAACACAGACAGGCAACCTGAGTCTTTGGAGGGGAGAGAAGGAAGGTGTTTTCTCCAGGTAGCTAAGACTGCTCAAGACAAACCTGCACAGCAGGGCTAAGGGCAGGAAAACCCTGCCAGGCACAAGCCGAGCTGCAGCCCATCCCACTGTCTCAGGAGAGACCCACGCACTCAATGTTAACGGTTAATCTTCTTGCCGTTCTCGATGGGAATGGCTGAGCAATGACCTCCTTTCATGTGAGCCGAGCAGACAAAGAGCTCATTAGCAATGCCTGTGGCAAGTTGTTTTAATTCATTATTAATTTCTGGACTTCATTTTCCAGAGGGATATTCATTTTGCATTAATAAAACTTCCGTGACAGACACATTGAAGAAGATGGGGGAAGACACGCTGAAGAAGATGAAGTCTCTGACAGCAGGGAAATCAATAGAAAGTAGGTCCGGGACCTTCTACATCCAATATAGTGGGATGGTCAGCAAGATAGCTTGTGAATCCCACAGGCATAAATCAGGAATAACAGGTGGCATTCAAACCAGAAACTGAACTGTGTCCTCAATGCTGCAGAGCTGGACCGTGATGCGCTGTGAGCTGCCTGGGCAGCTGCTGAGACCCCTCTGCATCTGCTGCTCTTCATCTCCTTCCTACCCACACCTTCCTGCCATCCTCCATGTAACCTGCATCAGAAAAAGCAGCCTGGGGGAGCATGTCAGAGCTGCAGCTGGCTGGCCTGAACTTGGGATGGGGTACATCAGCAGAAATTCTTCAATGAGGGCTGAGCACGCTTTGCTGGCAGGGAAGGGTTGTTGGAGCAATGTTATTCAGCCCTGCTGCTCCCTCCTGCTACAGGACCCTCTTTGTAAAAATGCACGTGAAGAACAATGCACTGTAAATCAACTGTTATTTTTACTAGAGAAATCAGCAGGGCCCCAGCTGTGGTCCCACCACACTGGAGCTGTGGCCCTGGGGGAGAAGAGGCTGCTCCTGGTGAGCACTCTGCCCCTGCCAGGAGGAAGGGCTGAGGGACCCATGCTCCCATATAGTGGAGTCTCTGGCACACACACCAGCCATTTTGTAGCCAAAGACACTGTCTCTGAGGGTTTTCTGCATGGCAGCAAGCCAAATGCTTTCACAGCTCTGCACTCCCACCTCTACTCCTCAGTTTCTACTCCAGCCTGGGACAAGCAACACTTTGCAGCCTGGGCTCTCTGGACTTGCAAACACAACACTTTCCACAAAATTTAATACCTCAATACTGGGTCAATGGATCCACCTGCCAGGCATGATGGCATCAATACATCATCCAGGGGATTCCTGGTCACCTGTAGAGCGTGCAACTCTTCTGTGAAGTCAAACCTGACTCGGAAGCACTCTGAGGTTTCTCCCCTCTTGAAGAGGCAGGAGAGTAGAGATGGGCTGCCTCCTTATTAACAGAATGACCCAGACACACTTCACTGTGCCCTGGGCCATGCCTGAGAGGTTTATCCGAAATGCTGCGTAATGCTTTGCAACAGCAAAGCACTTCTGCTTCAGCAGCGAGGAGCACAGCGAGCACATGGCTGGGGCTCTTCTGCAACCCCAGCTCCTGCAGCCTTGAAGCGGTGAACTCATTCCCTCCCTCCCCTCCAAAACAACTTAAGTTTATTAAAATAATGACTTAGAAGAAAGGGAGAGCTTTATTAGTGGTGTTAGGAGGTGGCAGGGA